ACTTTTTGGCACCTACACAGAGGCATTTGCAGGAAGCAGAAAAAAGGTGTTGCCTCAAGACCACAAGAGCAAAGCTCTTGACTATTTTTATCCACTGATGAAGGATATAGTGGGAAAGAGCTGCTTGAACTTTGCTTAGTTTTAATCATTTTGAGTTTTAATTTTTGGTCTTAAAAACCTAAATATATGTGGTTATGTTCTGCATTCAGAAATTTCTTCTGCTTCTAAAAGAGCAGGGGGAAAAAAGGGTTGTTAGTGAACAATGGTATTTAATTAAAAGTGTGGGAGGAATTCAGACACATCTCATCACCTCTATTGTCTCTTGTGTTTGCACTCGGCCTGTAAACACTTGGTTTTCTGGGATGTCCTTTGTTGTTCTTGTTCCCACTCAACACAAGGGGTGTTGCCCCTGGGCTGCAGGGAAAAGGTGCTGAATGGGGTGCCCTCCCATGAGCTTCGAGGACAACAGCGGTTGTGGTGAGAGCCCCTGCTCCCTGGGACAGGCACCCCATGCTCATTCCTGCGCTGAAAGACTGCTTCCCCTGGATCTGCCATCACTTCTTTATTGGGACCCAGTGGCGCTGCAGCCTGGCAGATGAACTGCAGAACATATGGTAAAAACAGGGTGTTTGGTTTGGGGATTTTTTTTGGGTGGTTGTTGCAGTGGGGATGATGTTTAAATGCCTAAAAAGCTAGGTCAGCTCTATTTGACATCAGTGCAACGTGGGTGTTTAAAGCTCCCATCCCAGGAAACATGACTGTAGAGGATCTCAGCTTTCAGTTTTAAGTGAGCATTTCCTCTGAGGGTTGCAGGTGGAAGCTTGAATATGTTCATGTAATTTGCTGCATAAATGTAAAATGGGGAAAAACAAAAAAAAGAAAGATGGGAGTGTTGGATCCTTGACCTTTTCCGGTTTAATTTTAACTGCTTGAGGTTTTCGGTGATGTCAACTGTTCAGTGGTTTAAAACAACAAAACACAAGGCAGCCTCCTCGAAGCTGTAATTTCCTAGAAGCGGCTATCTGTAATGTGAAAGGGCTGGGACCGCAGCTGGGAAGCTTCTAGCAAGGCGTGAAGGGAAGTAAACACTTTCACATGGGCTTAAAATGCCAATGTGCAGTTCTTGGAGTCTGAAAGTGAAACTTGCAATAAACAAAAATGAAACCAGCTCTTACTGAACTGTATCAAAATGTCCGCGGTCTGTGAAAGGACAGCGTTTGGATTGTTGGAGTATCTCTCCAAGATAAATGGATGCAACAAACCAATTTGTTCCTCAGATAAAGGTTAATAAAACCTTGGAGGTTCTGCATCCGCTGGGGGTGTGAAGATGGTTCTGCTGGACTGATTAATCACGGTGATTTAAATATTAATTCTCCTGATGCTGACATTAGAGAAGCAATAAGTGTTGTGGATTAGAGCTCCCACATTGGAGATCTTTATTGTGCCTGGGACAGCTCAGAGCCATTATTCCTCCCAGCTTACCATACTGTAAGTATTTGGATGTTTGCACTTAATATATTTTGGGGTTTTTTCCACATTCAGCAAAACCAGATTTGTGGTGGGTGTCTTATGAAGAAATGGCCAGACTTGATTTATTTCCTGGCCTCAGCTGTGTGTCGTAAGGCAGGCTTACAGGAATTATCCCTTGTCGAGCTGGCACCCGAGGTTCCAGTAACTCCAAGCAGTCAAAGCCATTTTCATCGTTACTGCTCTTAACATGTTTTCTGTTAAACTGAACCCACCAAACGCACAGCACTTGCTTCGGTAGTGAATTTTTGCTTTTATGTTCCAACGGACTAACAAGTGTGGTGTTTATGAGCATGGGAGCTGACTGGTGGCGTTGGTGCACACTCAGCCGGGTTGGCGTCAGTCCTGACCTGCCCTGGTGATCAAGGGTTCCCCTCCAATTTTGCCAGTCCTTGCTACCATCCCACCTACTGGCCTCCTCTGAAAGGATCTAGTGACTTTTAATTTAAGATGAATTTTGTTTAGGAACTGGGAAGCAGCTGGCAAACCAGGAATTGTAGTAAACTCTATGGCAAGATTTGGCATTGCGGTATTTTCACTAGGAATGTTAACTTGCTACTGAGTCTTTTATCTGACAGAAATGCACATCACCTTTATTAGCTTTGTGTTTGCATTCTCATGAGCTGCTGCTGATGGTCTTGGCTGACCAGCACTAGTGATAGTCTGATATGTGAGCTTGAGTAGAAGCCAAGTGGTAACTCATCAGGTATCAAATACAGGTTTTTTCCGGTTGGGTGTTTCAAACATATTGAAGATACTGATAATCACTTCCATTCTGGTACTCTGGGTGCTTGAAGAATATACGTGGTTCACATTCCGATTACGAGTTACTCAAGGTACATACTCTAATTCATTTCTCTGAAGATTGTGTCACTTGCTTAAATCCATCCTCCTTTGTTGTTAGGGGGGCAGATGGGTACTGAAAGCAAAGGTCTGCTGCCTGTGAGGAATGAGATCAGTGAAATAACTAGGTCAGGATTTTTTCATTGTTGGACAGATGCTTATTACCAAAGTCCCCTGTGAGAGCCACAAAGCCAGGTCTGGAGAGGTCACAGGTTGAGCCTGAGTTCTGTTAAAACCAGTAGCATCTTGCCTTCCAGTGGGTGCCAGTTTGGCAGCCTCCTTCCAGCCTGCTGCTGAGCTTTTCATGGTGTCTCACTGTCTGTAATGCATTTTTCAGTTCTGTTATTAATCCCCATCTCTTCCAGGTCAAACAGTAATTTGCTACATAGTGCCTTGGCAAATGGTGTGCCTGAGGTTTGGAAAGAAATGGGAGTAGCTCTAAAGAACTGGCTACCCTAGAAAACAGGAATGGCATATAACCTGCTGTCAGTAAATGCAAATCATATTTGCACACAAATGTTTTCCGGGATGTCTGGGTATTACCAAGGTTAGGATGAGCAGATACTCTGTCAGGTTGAATGACACACAGAGGCCATATAAATGCAAGGTGCTTGTATTTAGGGTAATGGAGGCCAGATTTCTGTGGAAAGAGGAGACAGAGCAAAGAGCTAAAACGGTTATTAGATCTCTGTGATATCAGCTACTGCTGGTTTTGGTTACCTGGTTAATGCCAGCGGAGGAGTCATCTTTTGTAGGTGGTTCACTGCCAACTATGCACTTTTGAGCGTGGGCTGTGGTGTTTGTTGCTGCAGTTGCACATATTAATTTTCAGATTGGAAAATAGCCACACTGGTCTGGAATTTGCTCATCTTCATCTTTCTCTTTTTCGACATAGCAGCAATGTTCCCAGGTTAACTGCTGGCTTTTGAGAATAGAAATTACGAAGTGCCTTGATCCTTTTGTTGTAATGGTACTCCAGTGTCAATCGGCTCTCATTCCTTCGGTTTCCTACACTGGCTTCATACACATTAAATCCTAACAAATTTATGGATATTAAACCCAACCATTTAGTACTGAAAACCTTCAGAAAACTAGGTTGAGGAGGTCTGATTTCATCCTTTCCTGCAGCAAGGTGCAATTCAGGCAACCTGCAGACCTCCCTGAATGCCCCCTGTCTTGATCATGCCCTAGATTTTGACCTTTTAATTTGACACGTAGACTTCCAGCAAAGGTCCAATACTAAACTGGAAAGCGGAGAAAATAATTGGCTTTTTTCCCTGGCACTGATGTTAATGTTTGCTGTAGCTTCAGATGTGACAACATGCAGCACTGCCTTGAGTCCTCTTCTACCTGCCACTGCTGGGTATTTGAAGGATTATTTGTAAAAGCACTTGACAGCCTGAGTGTGCTCCTGGCAGAGTTGCCAGCATGATTATAACAAATGCCAAATATCAACAAGAAAATAAGTAAACCTTACCTTATTCCAAGTTGTTTACAAAGTTTATGACAAGTGAAAACTAATCCAGAATGCCACATCTTAATAGAGGCATTCCAAATGCACTGAGGTGAGGTCTTCCCAACTCAACCAGTTTCATGAGACAGAGCCTCTACTGGATTTAATACATGGCCTCTATCGGACTGGATGGGGAGAGAACACAGACTCCAGGTTTGCAGAGCTTTCTCCTGAAAGCTGCTGGCTTTCAGTGTGGATCAGGAATCCAGTGTTTCCAGTTTCTTAGATCTGCATTAGCTCTTAGGATGACGCCAAAGAGACCATGATGCACATGAGTACGTGTTGCTTTACAGGACAAAGCCAAACTCTTGAAATAAGCTGGAAATCTCCCAGGCTTTGCAGGTGGGAGATAACGGATGGCGTGTTCAGGCTTCTTAGTTGCGAAACAGGAATATTCTGTTCTGATGGAGTTGAACAGTTTTTGAGAGCAGACCCATGTAGATACTGTTTAGTAATCCCGTCTGGAGGTGTGTACAGTTAGCTGAACGAACAGTGGTGGGCAGGGATGTGCTTGCCTGGACAACAAGAAAACAAGACTGTCCTTCAGCAGGGGAGCCTGCACCGGAATGTGGTAGTCTCTGGCTATTGGGGAAGAAAGTGCTTTTGGAAAGAAATTCTCCTCTTTATATAAGACTACCTAACACCCCCCAGCCCCTCTGTAATAGTTGAGTAAAAACTCCATGCTGCTAAGAATGATTAAGATTTAAAATTGTGAGTGCTGCTTGCAATGGAATGTAGAAACAAAGGCAGGTCACTAAATGCTAGTACTCAGCTTTCTCCTATAAGATTTTTTTTTTCCCCAGATATATTTTTCTTACCTATAAAACTACTTGCAGTCCTGTGCCTTGTTCCTACCTGTTGGTGTGAAAGAGGAAATAGTTGCTTTCGTAGTGATATAGTTTCCAGGACACATTTAGACTATGGAGTACTGTATTGCTGATACGTCTTTAAGTAGCTACAGTTTTGCAGCATGTGGCACAAAGAAGGAATGGGAGAAGGAAGTAGAAGTAATACAGAAGTGATAGTATGAAAAGTGCAGGCTGGGGTTTAACCAGGAACTGAAGCCTGATGAAGTGCTTGGTAGTGAGCAGAAGTTTCCTGGTACCATGATCTCTGTACTGATGGCAGTGTGTAACCTGCTCCTTGGCTTGCAAAACAGTGCAAGAAACTGTACAGCTTGTTACAGAGATGAGTTTTGACTTACGTGGGAAGAGGAAAGGAGACTGTAATGCTCGATCCAAAGGAGACACCTGCACCATGGTCCAAAACAATGCTCTCCTTGTGCTGGAAGCTTTGCCTAGTAGACTTTTTCCAATGATTTGTTGCCTTTACATGTTATCTCTTTCCCTGTGCCGGGTTGAGTAACCTAGTGTTGGAGGTAGCTGTGCTCTGAGCAGGGGTCAGGCCATGTGACCTGCTGGGATCCTTTCCAAACTAAATTATTCCTTGATTCTGTGAAACTGTTTGGAAACAAGGGTGACAGTTCTGGGTCTGACACGTGGCACCGGGTCTGACGGCTCCCTGTTCCCAGAAACCCATTGGTGGCTGGACTGGCAGAGAGCTGCAGAAAGGCTCAAGAGCAGCTGCTTGGACTTTGAGGAGTATGGCTGGCACTGCAAGGACTTGAAAACCTGGGACTTTCTGAGCTGTGGGAGCTGAAAGCCAACTGCAAAGACTATTCAAAGGTACAAGTGCTTATATATTAGCAAGGAAGCTAATTTCTCTTGGTCAGTATGTAAAGAAGCTTCAGACAGCAAGATCTGAACTCTGCTTTAGAGAGAGACTTGATCTCCAAAAGCAGGCAGGATTAACCCCCTGAATAGCAACCTAGGTACTGAGAATCTTTTCAACATGCACACCTATCCCCTTATAGACCTGTTTGCCGTCTGGGCTAAGAAGAAACAACCATGCACATAAGCATATGGTGTTGTAGAAAGGTCATTTCAGGTACAGTGAAGTTGGCAAGAGGGAGTCAGGAAGCTCAAGGAAAAGGATAATGTGATTAAAGTCTCAGAAAATAAGACTTGTAGAAGTTCTTAAGTGGGGAAAATACAGTGACATTGAAGTTGTTACAGGTTGTTCCTGCCAAAAGACACGGATGTGTTCCTTATTACTACTCTTTGAATCAGACACCACTGAATGGAACAAGTTTTGGGGGAGTAAACACAGGTGGTCAAGGACAGATCAGTGCCTAGGGTGCAGAGTTGTTCCTGAGGTGGGACTCTGCTTTCACCACCTCTGCGTGATTCATTTGCTGGTTCAGCAGGTCACATTGATCTTTATGTGTCACAACCGCAGGCCTGAGCCAGTTGCTTTCTGGCTTGTGCATTATCAACAGGATTGCAATTTTGCAATGGGATTTTAATTTCTCAATTCTGTTGCTAGGAGAGCCAAAATCTATGCTGCTCATCGGTTACGTTAACTCTGCAAGGCCAATGAAAATGGGAAGTGCAAATAATAAGAGGAGATCAGAAATAGATGTGTCCTGTTTCTAGTTCTTTTTGCTGACTAACGTTACAACTTTTGGAATGAATAGCATGTCTGAAGCAGAAAATGCTGTGCTGGCTCAACAGTGTCTTGTAAAAGTTGCAGTTAGAGATGGAAACACCTCCTTACCCTATAGGAAAATGTTGTGTCTGCTGTTGGCATGCAGCCTCTCAAGGCAAGAACATAAAATGTTTGCTTTAGCTACCTGTAGTAAAGCAGTTCAACTGGTCTGTCCAGCAAGATGTTCTCTCTTGAAAAAGGAGGCACATACCCCTCAAGCTTGTTGCCTCTGTGGGCGAGTTCTAAAGAGTACTGTGTTGGTGCTTTTTAGAGCCTTCCTGTGGAAGGAAGGGAAGCCATACATCGTGTGCTGACTGGTGGTTTCTGAACTGTGCTCTCACCTGATCAAAAACCCTTTCAAAAGGGTTTTCAGAAGTTAGTGTGACTTCTCAGGAGAAAAATGCAGCATGGGATCTTTTCTGTACTATGTACTTTAGGTGAGGGACCCACAGGCCCAGTGTGGGGAGATGCAGCTCTGACCGGGATGCTGCATGGTGGTGGGATGCTGGTGCTCCCCCAGATCCCCAAATCGACTGAGTCTCCTTCAGAACTTAGTGCAGGACTCTTCTGCATTGAAACTGCTGCCTTACCTCTCTCATTCAGTGAGGTGGTCCATCGTTTGAGGTGATCTTTGTATTTTGTGCATATGGTGGCTCCATAGAGCTGAGAAGTGTGGCTATGTGCCCTCATGAAATAGAGGACAGTGCAGCTCGGCAAGTGTCGGGGTCCACTGATGTGTGTTTCTGTAACCTGCTGGTTGGGTTTTGTTGGGCTTTTTGTTTGTTTTGAAAGGTGTCACAAGACTTAATTCTTTCAACACATCTTTCAGTATAAACCTCCCCACATTTTCTTTGCCTTACAATAAATTTTAAGTGAAAGAAAGTGAACATTTTAGACTTTGTTACAGGTTTGTTTGCAATGTCAGTGTAAGATCTCTGTTTCATAAGAAACTGTGTAGTGTAACTTCCAGGTTGCCCCAAAGCCTAAATCCTAGAGGATGTACAAACCACGGCCTGTAAAATGCTTTTGTTTTCCTGTTTTGTACTTTTTCCCGCCCAGATTTTTAGACTAGCGGGAAAACAGAGACTTTTGTGAAGCAGTGCACCATGTGGGGAGCAAGACCTTGCACCGTGGTCCTTTTCCATCTTAAGTGGACCTGCTGGGTGATAAAGCACAGCTGATTTGGCCGAGCTCCTGGGCTACTTTGCTATTCCAGGAAGAAGTTTTACAGGAATGCTTATCTTATACAAAGCACATGGCTAATTATGAAGGAATCATTTTAGATTGGAATCTTGCAGGAACATACTGCAATTATCAGTTAAATCTAAATGAATCCAAGCAGTCTTTTCTCAAATTATAATGTTCTGTTTATGAATGCATTTCCTCCACTTGGCATTCAGCCCCACTAATGCAGCGATATTGTGTAAAATGTGGAACAAATGACATCTCTTCCTTAAGAGAATGTCTGGCTCCTAGAATGTAGTAACCTTTAATGGGAAAGGGGTGATGAGAAAGCAGGCTGACTTGAGTGCTATAGCAGTGTAACTCATGAGTTTGGAGATACGGGTTTTCTTCTGAACAGTTGTTTGTGATTTTTGGTGATTTGTAGCTATTTTTTAACAACTTTATGTATTCTGTAGTTTCCCAAGACCATAACTTGCGACTTTTCAAATGCTTTCAGATCATTAAGAAAAAAAATTACATTTACAGAAGGTACTGACAAAACATCTTAAAAGTGTGTCTGTTTAATTTTAGGACAAGGAAACCTGCATGGGTGTCAACAATCAAAGTTACATATGTGAAACGGGCCACTGTTGTGGACAATCCCAGTGTTGCAACTACTACTATGAACTCTGGTGTAAGTCCTTCCATTTTGTATGGCTTCCCTTCCTAATCTGCATGGCTCACATACAGGTCTGGCTTGTGTCCCTTGGGGTTTTATATTCAGCCCTTGTTACACATCACAATTGCATTTCACTGCAACACAAACCAGAGTTGACCTGACATGGCAAAGGAAATAGGATCTCTACAGTGGACACTGCATGCTTTTTGAGGAGTAATGGGTCGTCTTGCCAGGTTCATGACTAGACATTTGTTTGGTATTCTCACTGATTTGGGCAACACTGAGGGTACGCAAAGAAGGAAACCATGCTTGAGGGAGAAATGCCAATGCACGCTACACTAGTTTGAAACACTCAAGCAGGGAATTAATTCAGTATCTTTTTAGCTTATTGGTTTAGTTCTTTGCAAGAGTAACAGTTTAAATCTCGTTTATCTTTCTAAAGCTATCCTTTCAAGGGGGGGTGGGGGCAGGACGTTTATTCTCCTTGGGATGCGTTGTGTTTGGAGGACAGCTCTTTGGACAGAGAGGGTTTTGGGCAAATCTTGCGGGCTAACAGTGGCTGAATACTGTGGGCTGTGAGAAATATACATTGCCCATGGCAACCCCTCTTAGCTAATCTTTCCCCAAATCTGGGATTTAAAACTACCCGTGTTTCCAGTGAGTGGTTGAGTGGCTATACCTGTTAAATCCATTTAGATGGCAGCAGGTCAAAGCAGGTCAGCAAAACTCTGATAAAATTATATGGGAAAAATGGGGAGTTGAGAGGATAGGGAAGTAAGAAATGCTAAATTTTGAAGGCGAACTTTTACATTCGTGCTGCTCTGATGGTGTCCTTTCTTGAGGAGGAGCACAAGGGGTTGAACGCTGATGTTGATGTGCTGCTGTACTGCCAGGAGCTTAGGCTGAGAAGGCCTCTGTGCTCCAAGAGTTTGGAAATCTGGAACTCTGAGCTGTGCACCCCCACATTAGAGAGGCTGGAGAGACTTTCTTACCATATCCAGTAGTATCTTGTAGCTTTTATGCAACTGTGCTGTCTACTTAATCGCTCCGCTGTGCCCATAGTTTCACTTTCTCAAAGTATCTTGTGTTTGGAAATGTATTACGTGTACAAAGATTGTCACTTAACCTGTATCTAAGGACAGGAATAGTTGAATCCTTTAGCCTAGAGACATATTCTTACTCTTCAAACTAACCAGTGAAGCATGGATGGTGTGGTTGTAAACTAAACAGGAACCTAACAGTCTCCTTCAAGTCACGCTGTGCATCAGACTGCAGTGGCTGGCTGTGTTGATGCTAATGGGAGGATCTGAATGTATTGCAGACCTTCTACAGCAGCAGGATTTTCAGAAGTCTCTGAATGCTTCAAGAAACAATTCATGACAAGTGGAAAGGGTGGGGGGAGTGGGGGTTAGGGCAGCAGCTCCAGGGATGCTAGCAGGCTGAGAGATAGGCATGAATACATGGCTGCCTTGGGCTGCCTGGTTCACATCCTAGCAGTGGGCCGCACAGGCAGGGCAGGACAGATGGCTGGAATTTGTTCTATATGGGGAGGCATGGACAAAGCAGAGGGGGGAAGGTCAGACCCAGTTTTGGATTTATGTGGGTGGGAATGCGGAGGAAGATGCACGTATGCAAGGGTTTACAGACTGTGTGGCAAGCAGGGTCTAAATTGAGCAACAGCATGAAGTACAGCTGCACGCTGGAGCTTGTTGCACAGTCGCCATCTTTCTCCCATGGACATCTTGAAAGAGAGGCTTAATTGAATTGGATACAAACAATACAGCCCGAACAATAGCCCCCTGCCATTTTAGTGGGATGATTTTACTTGAACTATCTTTGTGCTCTCAGTACGGCACGGACTTTGAGAGTTGGCAGTGCATGGCTGCATCATAAAAGTTCTTGGAAGATAAAACCAGATTTTGTTAGAAAGAAGCAGGATTTTTCAGGCTTCTTTCTAGGGTAAGTACAAAGGTCATGCTGAGATCATGGAACAAACATATTAGTGGCACACGCTGCTGGATGGTTCCTCGGGAGGAATGGGTTTCTGCATTGAGACTCGTATTCCTTCTGTGTTGCAGAGAGCATCACATACCACACTGCGCTGAGAGGAGTAAAACAAACATGAGACCTGTTCTTCTAGGCTTTCTGCAAACTCAGGCAAATGTCCAGCATCGATGTAAAATTGGTTAATGTTTTCTAAGCTCGCTTTGCCATTGTGTTAGAAAAAAGCTGCTGGGGTGGGAGGGAGGAGGCACGGGGGAGCGTGTCCTTTAAATGAAAACTCATATTCTAGAGCTTGTGAGCACAGCTGCAGAACATACCCGCTGCTCCAGTTCTTGAGTATCTTCGGTAGGTACATATGGTGAGGCACTCTAAGACCTTCAAGGTGAATAGCAGTGATAGTGTATGTAAAATAGTCTTAATATGAGCCATAAATTGATGGTGTGGAGTCTTAACAGCTTTACATGCTTGGGAATAAATTAGCTTTTAAAAAGTTATTATTAACTTTTGGGTTAATGAACAGTTAACTTCGCAGCACCTTTAAAGTATGGCTTCATGGTTGTTCTGTGTTTTGATTTTAACCAGTGTATGCATGTACTGCAGTAGCTTTTGAGATGTTTCTGCTCCTCTTGACCTTCTCTGACCACCAGTGCTTTTGTGTGCCTGAAAACAGACCTTCTTGCTAGACTTGTTGAATTAAATCCTGGATTTATTTACCACCACAGCTTTGTGGGGAGAAGAAGCAGAGGAGGGTGGCATTTGAAATGGGAAAGAAAACTGGTTTGTCTTTGCAGGGCATGCCTTCTGAAATGTGATCCTGTGGCCACTGTCTGTGGCCACTTGGAGGTTTTTCCCGTAAAAAGGATCTTTTTTCCCAGTTTAAGAATTTGAGGGAAATTTGCCTTTGAGAACAGCTGATCTCAGCATTTCTAGACAGCACGTTAAGTCTGCAGTAATTACAAACCAGTCCTTGTGGGCAGTGGAATAGGATGCAAAATCAAGGTATTATTTTGTTAAGGGGTGGAGTGGAGGAATGGAGAACATGATATGCCAAGCAGGTGGACGGCCTGTGTTTAAAATTAGATAACAGCCCAGTTCAGATCCCCCACCCCACTCTTGTTAAAAAAAATAATGAATAGTGCCATGCTGCCAAATAATGAAACTGTGTCCAGATTCATATATATATATATATATATATATATATATATAGGCCTAATAGCTATATAAAGGTGTATTTGCTTCTTAGCTCAAGCTTAGTAACCGGTAACACGAAGGAAAATGTGCAGTATGCTTTTGAATTTTCTTTGAATAGAATCATAAAAAGTAAAAGGGAAGAAGAGGCTTTACTGTTGCTTTCGTACTTGCTTGGATGGTGGTTAAGCTGGTTCAGCGTTTTAGCTTAACAGTTTCTTTGGGCACCCCAGAGAGCTCACGGTCCCAAGGTGGGGATTGTGGTCTTGGGAGAATGGCAGCAGCCACTGGGTTTTGCTTGCTTACAGTTTTCATTCAAGTGTGTTATGATGTGATTGTGATTTACTGGAGTTGCCCAGTGTTGACCTTTGTCCAGGCCTGACAGGAGTCTACTGCTTAAATATTCCAAAATACCATTTTCCAAAATACAGGAGGAAAGTTATTGGGGAAGAACGCCATTCCTGCATTTTGCAGGTTAAGAATTTAGGCTCAGACATTTGGGATTTTCGTAAGTGTATAATTAGAGCTGAAACACACATCCAGATCTCCTGACATCCATCCTTGCATGTTTCCTTGCCTACTGAGGACCAGCATGAAATTGAATGATTCCAGAGGCTCTGAACACAGCAAGAAAAGCTATAGAAAGTAGTTTGCATAGTGTGGTTGGAACAAGGGTACACCATGCTTCAGGACCATGGTACATGGAAACAGGCTTCTGGCCACTGTGTGCAGATCTTAGTTTTAGGATTTTAAGGTTAGAGGGCTTAGCTGGTCTTAGGTCATGTAGGTACTGTACAGCAAACCAGCACTGGTGATGGGTGAGTGTTCAGATGTTAAATGTGCCTATTTTGCTTCATTTTGGCTTCTTCAGCAAAGTAAAAAAGATGTTGCTTGTTTGGGCCCTGGTGGAAGGGCTGTACAGGAAAAAAATGTTCTGTTTGCAGACAGCATGGTTGATGTTTTTGCTGATTTTGAACATTTTGCTCGTCTCTGCACGCTTCCCTTTGGAATCTCTAGACAGCTCTTTTCCCCAAAAAGCACGCTGCCAGAAAATTCTGGCAGGGATCCGGTTAGTTGCTAAAACTAAAGCAACTGCTCTACCACGTACATGTTCCAGGTCAGCTTCATAATAGGAATTCATTTCCAAAACCTGCTCCAGTCTCCAAAGCTCTCAGTCAAACAACACATCAGTCCCCCAAGTTTTCTTCCTTACTGTGTGTTACCTTATCCTTGAGTCCTTGTCCTTTTCCAGAGAGGGATTTACCATGTTCCTTGCCTTTCACTGAGCCTCCTACATGGTTGCACTTGCTTTCTCTTTAGATGTATCAAACTTCACCTCTGGCTGCTGTTACTCCTCAGCTGGCGCTTCAGCAATAATGCTCCCATGACAAGGCCTAGCTGACAGTATAGGACAAACAAAACAAATGTCACAACCATGCAGAAACTCATGATAAATAAGGTCACTGAGGGAGTTATTTCCTCATTTCCTTGCACATTTTTTATCCTGATCCAGACAGCAAAATCGTCTTAAGCTTGTTGTGATGTGGCGCAGTAAAATTCACAAACCCAAAGGAGAAGGCAAGCCATCTTGCATAGCCTGACAGTGCAAAAACTGACTTTTGCCCTGTGTGGCTTGCTTCTACGTGCTCTGTGTTGAGCAGCAAGGAAAGGCAAGAGAGTTTGCTGGCACTGGTGCACCCCCTGCCTTTTGTAACTCCAGCCCAGCTTCTCACCAAATATGCAGACCTGTTGGTGCAGTGATCTCTAAATCTTGAGGTGTTCTGGAAATGGTGTCAGCTGGTTTTCCCCTCCAATCTCTGTTAGACTGCTGTTCAATGTGCATTTTACCAACATAAATGTCTTGGGAAGCGTAAGTCAGCTGGAACTGACTGGACTTGCATCTTCTGAAGCACAGAAACAATTGCTCTTCAAATGCTCCCTCCCCAGAAGAGAGGCATAAAAACAGTGCCTGCAGATTTACTGCCTCAAGTTGATTCTTATTGCAAGATAAGAAAGGATTTTTCTGAAATCTGGCTTTTTCCACCTTATCTCATGGCAGTGTGTGTGCCACACATACGGGATACTATTCTGAAAACTAGAAACCAGCTGCAGATAACATCCATCTCCTTCTGTGTGAGTTACCAGTCTGGGAGCAAGCAAACAAGCAGAAGTTGGACATGTTGGTTTCAGCTTTTCTTTTGCCATTGTACTCTACAAATGCTCATAACTTTTTCCTGCAGTGTGATCAGGCTGGAGCTACAGTTCCATTGATTTGAACTGACATAAAGCTGTCACTGAAAGTCATAGTCTTTCTCTTGCTGCTGTTGTGGTTGGTAGATGAGTTTCAACCTGCTCTGGTTCCCTCAAACCAGTTCAGACCGCAGTTGTGGCACAAGAAGAGATAGAAGAGGCAGCAGGAGGTATGAAAGAGGCAGAAGAGGATCTGTTCTGGATGACACTGTTAAACTCAATGCATCCAGGTTCTGGTACCAAGTAAATCTCTCTCCTGTTTTTGACGATAGCCACCATTTGGGACATCACTTTTTAGTCAAGTGAAATTATCCCACTTCTTCTGTTCAGAACCAGCTCTCATGGAGCCAAAGCTATTACCCCTGTGCTTGTCAGGCAGACACAAAACCACTTTGCAATATGTTTTGGCTTGCTTTTAGGGGACTTTCTTCCAGCAGCAGAGTGATGGCATTTGCCCAAGTTTACCATGAACTTGAGGGCATATTTCTCTGTTCCTACGCTTGGAGCACTCCAGAAGACATTTTCCATTTTGCACAAGATAAAAGGAGTTCCCCTGAATGGCAATGCTGATGGCAGCATCCCATGCAGCAAATGCAGTACATCATCAGCCTGAGCATTGCTCCCACCTTTTTCATGCGGAGCGAATGCTCTGGGTTGTTTATTTTTTCTTAAGTTCTTTTGTTCTTAATCATCCTTAAGTTTGAGCAAAGCTCTGGTCAGCGTCCCAGGAAGGTTTTACTTGAAGCTTTAAGCCTGGCATGTTATTTCACAGCTGGTAGAAAACATCTCTGGTGCATGACCATGTGATGAGGCTCCCTTTCTCCAGAACTCTAAGTGTAGCAGCCTTCTCTTTCTTTGGTATTTCCTCTGCTTGTGGGAGATGGCTTTCCTGGGAACTAATTCTGTCCCTGGGTATTTCTGCAGCTCCTGTTGTGACTCGGAGCTCGGTGCTCTTGTAAAGCTTACAGCTCTGAGCCTGTCCAATGCTGGGTAAGAGGATGATACTTCTTTTTCTTATGAAAGATTTTGACACCCTGGCAGGGAAATCTCTTGGCAAAACTCAGCGCCTTGGCTGGGTCTGATTCACCCCTTGGTTGCATCACTATCCACCCATTAGCATCACCAGTGAATTCAGCGGAAAATATAGCAGTGTTTCTCAGGACTGGAGAGTTCTTTCAGCTTCTGACTCTTCCATAAACCAAGAACCCGCCTGAAACTGCTTTCAAGTCCAGTGGTCCCCTGGGGCATGTTGAGCTCCAAACTGGTGCATGACTTCTGTTGATGCTGATGATCGGTGGTTGTTTTTCCAAAGACCCTGTTTGCTTTTTGCCTGTCACATTGCCCTCAGGTTGCCATGAGTTTTCAGTCCCAGTGGTCACTGCCAATCTGGCAGTGGGTAATAGTATCTCTCAATTCAGACATTTAGTGGCAAACTTGGATCAAGATACCCAGTTGTCTCCCAGCCTTTCTCCTTTTCCAGTGACTGCAGTGATAGCTTAGCACAATGCAGCTGAAAACCAGCTTGTGTCCATTTGGCAAGGAGGCACACATTGAAGAGCACAGGGAAGGTTTTGGGGGTTGGTGAATGCAACTAGAAGCCCATTTTTAGTTGGCTTTTAGAGGCCTTTTAATGCCAAACTTCTGGTGCCTCTGCAAATCTTGCCCATTTTCCACATGAGGCAGAGCCAGTACCTCCTTTCAACACGAGCAAGGTCTCAGCATGTACCACTCCTGTGCTCTGCCTCCACGTTTCCTGCTTGAGTAGTGTTGTCTTTGGGGTGAATTTGAAATACCCCTGCTGCCAAAAGAGCCACTGGGTACATGGGCCAGTGTTCTGCTTGGCTTACCTCCCTGTTGCTCGTTTTGAAGCCAAGCATCACCAGGTGTATAAATGCACAGCTCAGCCCTGGACATCTTCACTGTTCACTCTATACAATTAGACATAATATTTACAGTTGTACTTGGCCTGTATGCATAGCTTTATTCCAGATAAATGACCCTACTATGTATCTGCTAGGCTTTTACAGTTTTTCTGTTCTGCAGCCAAAATTACAGCTGTACCCAAACTTCTGGCTCGGGCATGTTGTAGAGCCTTTTATGGAGGCCCTGGGCTGCCAGCACTGTGCTGGGCTTGCAACCAGAGCTACACCAGATCCTCCTCTCAGTGCCAGCACCCTTCTTCAAGTGGCAGCCAAGGAGCCCCTCATGTGCCTCAGCACCTATGGGTGTCCCATCCTGTTGCCTCCTATGCACTGGGGCGACTTTGAGCGCTGCTGCAGTACAGATGTGCTGTTGCATGACAGGCATGTTGCATGAAGAGCAAAACCATTAAGGAGGACACTAAAAGCCAGGCCAGCAAACGGCCATTGTGGGCACACGCCACTGACCTCCTGTGATGATCCAGGCAAATCCTTGGGCTTGCGCTGAGTCAGGGGTTGAGTAATTCCTAGAAGCTCTAGGAAGTGTCAGCGGTTAATGAAACCAGGCAATAACGTGGTATTAGTGGGTTCTTTTTCTGGCAATTCCCATGAAAAACAACAGATCTCATCCACTTGTGGTTGCGAGCGTGCATAGACCCTTTGCACAAGAACGGAGGTGTTGTTCCTGGCGCTGTGGCCAGATTGCAATCCAGTAAATTATGGTCTGCTTACTTAAAATGCCACCTGTGGTTTCAGTAAGATCCAATGTTAATTTATTATCTTAAGCTGTTGTATGTTGTTACTGCCTGTTGTTTACAGAGTTGCCGCACGTCTTCCCAGGAATGGCTGAGCTTACTTTGACCCCTGCTCTGAGCTTGTGCATCAGTTTGTCTGCAAAGCACTTTGGGATTTCTCTGGAATGGGTAGAGGAGTTTTCAAAAGAAGTACTTTATTAATCTTCTGGATGCAGGCTTGGGTGGGAGCAGTTATTCCCTGCAGAAAAATTGGGCTGCTACAGCTGAGATTGCTTAACAGTGGCAGTTCTCCAGGACATCTTAACTAACTGAGTGCTGCTCGCTGCCATTGCATCTAGAGTCCTTGGGAAAGGACATGAGCAAATGTGTTAAAAAGCATCTGTTTTCATAACTGTGGCTAAAATCCCTGGATAGCTGGGTGTAATTTTCCATTGTTTTTTGAATGCATGATCACAGACTGCCTGTTGAAAATAAGGAGTACTTAAAAGATGAACTGCAGGCCTGCCTCAGTGCATGGTAGCGTGCTGTGCCAGTGACCTGGTTTTGATGAGTGTGTTCTTGCTTCCTCAGCAGCTAAGAGGCGAGGAACCTTCTCTTGGCAGGGAAGAAAGTGGGAGTCTTCAGAGAGCAAGGCAGTGTTGTATAGGGTTTGCAGGGCAAGGTTGTGGTACTGGTGGTAGCTACAGGGGTAGTTGCAAATGCCTGGCTTTGGAGGGAAGGGTGGACTAGGCCAGTTCTTTTATACAAGAAGTCTTTTTCTTAGAAATGGAAGGGTGTTTGGAAGGCAGCAGACATTTTCTCAGCTCAGACGCAGAGGGTATCTCGAGTGCTTCATCCTTTGCTTCTCTGAAGTGAAGATTACCATTTTCTCTCTGCCCTTTGTGGTACTGCTGAGTAAGCTGGCCAGAAAAACTACCTAGGAACCTTGATTTCCAGCCAAGCAGGAAAAGATGGAGCATGTAACACCTTCATTTGATAGCAGGGTTTGATTAAGCTTAGGTGTAAGGCGGAATCCAGTCCATTAGGGAGGTTGGTTGTGCAAGGCAAGAGAGAGATTTCAGTTTACCTTGCCAAAATACATAAAGAATTTGGGTTGCAACACAGGGAGGTGAAAGTCCGTGCTCAAATGCTCACAGGCACGATATGGCACATCCAGTTCACCTACAAACAGCCCAGAGTGGGTCTCTGAGATGGGTGATACGGGTCGATTGCACTTTGTTCTGAGCCAGAGCAACACTCCTCTCATTCTTCTAATTCCTAAACTGTTCACCTTTCCCCACCCAGCTCTTAGCAGAGAAAACATCGCTAACTCAGCAGGGGATGCTGAAAACATCAAGGTATAGTAAAGGTGGGACTAGAGGTTTTTACTAGGGAGGAGTTTGATCACCCAGGGCAGAACCATGCTGAAAATGGGCTGTAGCATGAGGAGTCTTCATTTTGTCTGTTTGGGAATAATGAAGAGTGTGAAAGCTGCTACCAAAAGAAAAGCAGTGTTGTGATCTCTGCCGAGGAGTGGTTGTCAGGCCTACACGTTTCTAAAGGGGGAGCTCTCCTGGTATCCTGAGCTGCAAAACCTGAGCTTGAAAAAGAGATTCAAACAGATAGGGCTGGGGGCTGTCCTTGCAGGAGGCAAAAGCCTAATCTGCAGTGAATGTTGTTGCTCTTCTGAAGTGTTTCTCAGAAACGTTTTTCTAGTGCGTGCAAGTGTGAAGGGAGATCTGTGGAAAGGGGGAATTACTCCACATGTTGGAGGGAGTGGAGGAAATGCAGGAAGTGTTCTTTATAAATTCCCTTTTAAGGAGCAGTGTACGTACAGTATGACAGGGCACTGAGACCAGCCGTGACCACAAAGAGAGCAGAAGTTAGATTTCTTGAGGATTCAGTGTGAAGGGCTGGTTAAATCTATTTTTGGATAATTTAAGACATTGAATACAAAAATAAGTTTTAAAAATGTTTTGAGACATTTATGTAAAAAGAGTATGGTTTTGTTAAACGTGACAATGAAGGATTTGGGATGGAAATTAAAGAGCAGTGCAAACAAAAGCAAAACATAGTGCTTGGGGTTTTTCCTCTTCTTCTGTGGTCAATCTGCAGAGTGGCTTTTGTGTCTTGATTGTTATTTTCAAACTGAAGTGGCTGTAGGAGACAAGTTCAATGTTATTCACAGCTCTTCTCATATTTTTGGCTAGAAGAAATGATAATCCAAAGGGTGGGGGCGATGATGGAGGGAGCTTAGCTCTGTCTCCATGTTTCATTCTTCTCTAGAGTTGTACTTAATGAACATACTCCACATTGTACCAAAGCATGTACAGAGTTACCCAGTTCTGTCAGGGCTACCCAAGGCTGTCAGAATAGAAGTCAGCCATGCAGGCAGGTCTATGTTGAAGCCTCCTGGCACAACATATATTTCTGCCTTTTAAGAGCAGTGCAGGGTTCAGATCTGGGCTTTCTGATGATCTTCCCCATTGCCTTTGTGGTGTTTGCTGGGTTTGGATGTGGCTTTTGCATTGTGGTTAACGCTTGCTCTCCCCCACTGCAGGGTTTTGGCTGGTGTGGACCATCATCATCATCCTCAGCTGCTGTTGCGTTTGCCATCACCGACGCACCAAGCATCGTCTCCAGGCCCAGCAGCGGCAACATGAGATCAACCTGATCGCATACCGGGAAGCCCATAACTATTCAGCCCTGCCATTTTATTTCCGTATGTACCTCACACTGGTTTTCCTGAAGGTCATGGGTAGCAGGGCAGCAGCAAGTTTTCTGTGTTGGGTGGAAGCGGGCAGCAGTGGTTGGGCTCAGCAAGAGGCAGTGAGCAGCTTTGTGGCCTAACCTTGGTGTGCAGAGATGAGGTGGCATATGCCAGCTGCTGGATGCATTTGACTCCCCCTTGAGTCTGGAGTTGAGCCACACCAGCTACAACACCTTCACACGCACCCTTGATTTGGCTTTGTGAGTACAGTGATCCCCTGAGTGCTTTTCTGGGAGGGTTCTTATAATAATCTCCTTCAGGACTTCATGGATGCTCCTCCTGATGCACTGAGGTGTGGGAAGTGGCTTCTTGAAATACAGTCACACAGGGTGGGTGAAAGTGGTGCCTTGGCAGGGACTGTGCTGCCTCTGGCCCTGTGCTGCAGTGACCAGAGCATGTTGCTGGTGAGCACCCCTAGGATTTATCAGGAAGGAGCTGTTGCCAATGGCTCAGGGAAAGTACCGTTGCTTTGTGCTCTCCTTCATGCCCTCCTACACTGCACTAGAACAGCAGGCCTCAGCCTTTTGGCTGGTGGTACTGCAACTGAGTTTCCTGTAGCAGACTGTTGAGTTGCATATATGAACTTGCTTTTCTTGTTCAACTCTTGCAGCCACCTCAGAAATAATCCCCAGCAGCCTTTTCCTTCCCAGGGATACCCAATTGCACATGGAAAACTGCAGTGCTGTCTTTGTGTTTCCAGTATTTAAGTCCATTCTGTCTATATATAGACTGTTTTGTGGCCTCTTAAGGAATAAACAAAATCTGTCATAGATTTGTGGGCTGTAAGTATAATAAACCAAACTTTCTTGACAGTACTGCCAGTTTGTTCTGCCTGCACCAGAAAAAAATGAATCCAGTGTTAAAACAACAACCGAAAGCCAGGATCCTTGTAACTGCTTATGTCTCTTCATGTGCACAAAGCTTTGTGAGATGAGGCCTTTGCTCTTGAAAGCGGAATCTTGGCTGAGAAGCCAGTGTTGGAGAGGGCTGATGAGGCATCTCCCAGGATGTTCTCTCCAGCTGATGCAGGCCATCCCTTGGTGTGGTTTATGGGGCTGTATTGGGGGTACAGGGTGGTGATGGTAAGTTCACCTGGTAGCCCTGGGCAAAGACTTGAGAGCCAAGAGATCAGGCTGCTATTCCCAGCTGTGTCCATCTCCTCCTGTAAAGGAGCCCTCCTGTGCCACGATTGCTGCTTCTCTATAACATAATGTATCTCGTTTGGGCCAAGTTTTGGCACCCCTTGTAAAGCCCCTTGACCTGTTCAGAGGGAAGGTGCTGGTAGACAACAAACAGCTAACAGACCTGTATTAATGCCTTGTTTCCTGGGATAAGCTGTTCAAGAAATAACTTCTCCTCCTTGGTTCCCACTTGCAGGGTTTTTGCCAAATTATTTACTACCTCCCTATGAGGAAGTGGTGAACCGACCGCCGACCCCACCACCGCCATACAGTGCCTTACATCAGCAGTGCGTCCCAGCAGGCAGCAGTAGCACAGTCCCAGACACGCCAAGAAACCTACAGCCAGCACAGAGCAGCTCAGCAGCACCCAGTGGCAATAACAGCAGTACTGACCACCCCGGGTCCCCCGGCCTCGGGGATCCCGAGCCCTCCACCACCACACTTGAGAGAGCAGTTGCCAAAATGCAAAGCATTGAGCCTGGTGGTACCAGCACAGGAGCCGAGCTGGTGGAGAGGGCCAGTCCCGATAAGGATACTGAGTGCAAGGAGGAACTGCTCAAAGGTTACAGCTCTGAGAGCTTAGAGCAGAGCAGCGCCATTCCCGATGCGAAGGACAAGACGCCGGGCAGGCAGCGCCGCTTCACTGGCGACTCGGGCATCGAAGTCTGTGTATGCAACCGGGGCCATCACGACGATGACCTCAAGGAGTTTGATGGGCTCATTGATGATGCTCTGGATGGGCCCCTGGACTTCTGTGACAGCTGCAGTGGCCGTCCCAATGGGGATGAGGAGGAAGGGCTTTTTAATGCCACAGAGGAGCAGCACCGTGAACACAGCCACCACCACCTGCCCCGGCAGCCGGTGTGTGTACTCTTGAACACAATAAATGAGCAGGACTCTCCAAACTCTTGTACCAGTAACTCCCCCAGCTAAGGTGGCAGAGTGGAAGGGAGAAAAAACACAAAGAAATGAGAGTGGAATAAGAGGATAACAACTTTAATAGGAGGAAAAAAGGTGATACAACCTTTTATTAGTTTATTTCTGTTTCTCCCCCTCCAATATAATTCGAGGATTAGTCCTCGAAGGCCCGGCGTGTGGGGGACGGGTCGCTCGGGGTTTTGTTAATCATGTCTGTCCTGCTCCGCAGGGCAGGGACTGGTGTTTCTCAATGAGACCTTCTAACAAATGGAATTTTCCCAATGGTGATTTTGGTGATGGTTATTACGAGTTTGTTGGTTTTAGTTTTCTGAAAACACTGCTTTATCTCGCAATCAGTAAAGCTCAGCAGATCTCACCCTGGGAGGATACAAAATCACCGTCAGGCTTCAACCTCCAGGTGTCTTCCCAGAAGCAAGCAGCTTCTGACAGTGCTGGCAGTCAGTAGCCCAAGAGTTCTGGTTTGATATAGTGCTCTTGAGGTATTGGGGATTTCTTTTCGTTTTAGCTTTTATTTTGTGTGTGTGTGTGTGTGTGCGTGCACATGTGTGTATAAAGTTTTCCTGAAGCTGATGAATGCCTGAACACGTCAGCCCTATAACCTCTGGTGCTTCAGTGTTTAAGACAGCAGGTAGGAAATTTCCCACTTGAAGCTGGTGACTGAAGGACCAGTTTCTTCCAGAAGGAGTGTTAGTCTGCCATGAGCAGTTTGAAAAGAAAGGCTTTGCAGAAATTTGCCTTTATATGTCATTTTTAAAGACAAGCGTATTCCTTCAATGCCTCCAAGAGCACAGTTAGAAGTAGAATCCAGGCAGCTGGGCTGCCTTCCAAGTACTGTGGTCTCCAAAGGACCTTTTCCCGGTGTGCTGCAAAAGGGCTTGGCTTTATTTTGTTCCTTTCTTTGCACCCCGACAGCAGCCCACTGGAGTTAAGATGACAAAAAAGAACAGGGCTCTCTTTGGCCAGCGTGCCTTCAAGCTTCAGCGATGCATGTTGAACAAATGGAGACGAGAGCTCCGTCCATTGTGAAGGGATGACTTACCGTGTAGAGGTGGAAGACCTGTGCAGTATTTTTGTTTGAAATCCAAATGTTGGGTGTGATTCTAATGTTGACCACTTCAAAGAAATGAATGTCTGTTTTCTTTCTGTTTTTATGGTGCCAACTGGCTACTGTACAATGTCTGTGAGCGTGTGTGTGTGTGTGACTGCAATCCATGCATGCAAGTCCTACTGGTAATATGAAAACCTGCTGTAAGACTGCAAGAAAATTTACTGTAGCTTTGCTTTAATAAACGGTAGAGATTTTGTTAGTGACAACCTGAAGGAAAAACAAAGAGCTTGAAACTAACATTCCCTAGCGTGCTCATGTGGAAGAGAGCACAGTTCACACTATGTATCTTGTTCTTGGGTTTTCTCCCCGGCCCTTTTATAATTATGGTCATCCTGATCGTTACTGTTATGGGGGGGGAAAGGAAGATTGAAAACTGAACTCAGACATACTCAGATTTGATTGATTGAAAACCAAAATCAGTTTTAAATAAGGTGGAAACCAAAATATAATGCCTTTTCTGATAACTTGCCCGTGTGTATGTGCATCATTTTGTGAGTTCAGAGCAAGGTTTATCTTTAGTTTGTGGTTGTGCTTTGGTTTCTGAACTGGAGGTACGTAGCACTGTGCTGGATAGAGATGACAGCAAGACAAGTGGTGCTCATCTCGGTATTTACCCACATGTTTGAGGAGAGCACTTTCACCTTACAAGGTTTAGGAGAATCTCACTCCTTTGTCTGTCACAGCCTTTCTCTTCTATCAGAACAGCTGATAAAAGCAGCTCTTCAGTTTGTGTCTTGGGATGCTCTCAGGAATGAAGGACTTCAGTGTGGATTCAGGAGACCTCGTTCCTGGATGCCTGGAGTTCAAGAGGTAACAGAGAGGCTGTACTCACCCCAGAGCCATGCTGGCTCCCTGTGCACTGACCACCCAGGGACCGGTCACTCCCAGCTGTTCACTGACCACGTGCAGCTTTTGAGAAGAGAATTAAAGATCCCCAGTGCCACCCTTAGGAATTCTGTATGTACTGGCATTGGGTTTTGCTCCTCAGGACACAGAGAAAGCTAAAACAAAGCACATCAGTCCTTACAGAGTGGGGTTTAACTGCTCTAAGTCCTGGGGATGGCCCCATGGCAGTGGGAGACTCACTGCCAGTGTTTTTGTTGGTATAGGACAAAAATCTCTGTGTTTGCTTTTGTGCCACCCCACTGAGGGTGGGGGAAACCCCACTTCTGTGGACATACTGGTGCTTACCTCTAAGCCAAGCTTCTGTTTCTGATCTTAAAAAGTCAGGAAGAAGCAGGGGTGAGCCTGTTTTTTTATAAGTCCTGGAGGCTTTTAAGGACCATAAAGAAAGAAGGCACAAACCACATTTCTTAAGCCCACGTGTGCCTGAGGAGGAGCAGGACAGTCAGTGTGGCTCTTGGTGCTTCAGGCTTTTAGACCTGGAGCAGAAGGAACGGTGCAGGGCAGGACACTGGGCAGGACAGCTCCTTGGAGGCATCCGGCTGGTGTCTCTTCAGGGCTAAAATCATGGGCAGGCAGAGAGCTCCCAAAGCTCCAGCTTTGGAGCTTTAGAAGGGTGCTTGTTTGTCGCGTGTGTCCCTTGGTAGAAAGCCAGCATGACCCAAACAGAGCTCTTCTCTGAATGCACGCCGTGGGTGTAAAGTGCTGGAGAAGCGAGGATGCAGGCAAGTGTGCATCTCTTACCACCAGGGCACGGAAATCCACCCATTTCAAGCTATAAGGGGCAAGTGTTTTATGATTGTCATAAATATGCCACTTCAAAACCGAGTTGCAAACAGTGTAACACAATTGAGGGCAAATTAGTGTCAATCCACGGCTAGATGTTTTTCTTTGCAACATGCTTCAAGTGTTGGTGCCAATAATGCTTGAAGTCTATTTTTGCCAGAGCCTTTGGCAGCGCAGTGCTGCTTACACGGCATGTTTTTGGCCACTGAAGTCAGCTTTGAGGGCAAAGACCCAGCGGGTGTCCCTGCAGGCATGGGGGGGATGTCGCCTGGGGACAGGCACTGCAGAGCCCGTGTGATTGGCTCAGCAAGAGAGTCCCCCAGGCACGACTGGTGGATGCTGCAGCATCGCCTCAGTGTTCCCAAGGGATGCTTCAGCTCCAACAATGCAAACTTATCCCTCTGGGAACACCGCTCTAGTTTTCCTACAGTGTATTGTTGCGTGTTTATACAACCCAGCGGTTGGGTGTTGGCTGAAGACGGAGGAGGAGGGAACGGTGTGTGTTGGTGGGTGCTGGCAGCCTGCTCTCAGAGCTCCTACCTGCCTAACTCGAGGTGAAGGAAAGCTGAGGCACGGTTAGGCTTCTGCGTTACGCAGTCATTGGAAACTTCCTGGGGCAGGAAACCTGAGCAAGGCTCCGGGACAGCAGCATGATCGGGAAGCTCTGAGGCAATGGGAGCGTTGGGGCGCCCGTCGCGCTTGGGGACGTGCGTCAGCGGCAGCAGCCGGGGCTGCCTCGCTTCCTGCCCCTGCAGCCCAGGCTCCCACAGACACATCCTCTTCTGAGCCGGGCTCGACCCACAGTGACCCACTCCCAGCAGAGCTTGGCAGGGATCCTGCTCCAGTGAACACATCCCCTGCAGCCGGCTGCCCCCCGACCCTCTCTCACCTGCCCAGGCGGTCTCACCCCCTTGGTTTTGGATCTCGTTTATATAGGAAACGCCTGGGCCAGGCTGGGCACACGGTCGGGCCGGCAGCCCCCGCTGGAAGCAAGCCATGCAGCATACCACAGCGAGCAGCCTGGGAAGGCCGGCATCAGTTGCTGTCCTTTGCCTGTCTTCATCAGAGCTGGTTCCCCCTCCTCGCAGCACAGCTCTGCTGTTATCAGATGGGCCCAGTGCCCGCCCCAGGCGTCTCACGAGTGGTGCAAGGGCTGCAGTCCCAGTGCCGGGGAGGGGGGGGTCACAGGCTGCCAGGGTGGTTCTGGGTTTGTTTTTGGGTGGTGAACAGCTGTGTCCTGAGCTTTGTGCTTACTCAGCTCGCCTGGCGCCCTGCCCGCCCCCAGCCCGCAGGTACTGCCAGCATTGCCTGCGGCTCTCCAGCACAGCCTGGGGTGTAAAGTGGAGCCCCCCCAACTTGGAGCGGGGTGAGCTGAGAGCTGTGCCCCCCAAAATGAGTTTGTGTGATGGAAAGGGTTGGGTTTGTTGTACCCCATGTCCTCGAGTCCTCCCTTGGTGTGAGCTGCACCTCGGCTCCATGGGGTACAGAGTGGGAACAGCCATGGATGGAAAATCTTCATCCTTTCCACTATCACTGATTCCTCTTTTCAACCCCCCGTGTGCTGCAGGGAGATGCTGTTTCATGACCCACATAAACTGCCCTCCACGCCCTTCAGCTCCGTTCCCTCCTGCCTAGTGCAAAGACCCCAGGTGACCCCGTAGGAAGGGCAGGGACCCAGCATGGCTCAAGCTGTTAGAGCAGCAGGATTATGTCAGTGGCAAAAGCCTTCGTGTTCGCAGTGCCTGCCCGTGTTGAGCCGGCCAAAACCTAGTGGCAGCTGCTGAGCACCCCCCCAGCTCTCCCATGGGCATGGCTGCCTCCTCCCCGTGTTTGAGTCACTGAGCTGCCCAGTGCCTCGTCTGAGTGGGGCCAAAGGACTTGTCCAAGGTGGTCCCAGGGACCCCGACTTCCACAGTGGCTCAGTGGGCAGGAGGATGGAAGGGAGCCGGGTGCAGCCTGGGTGAAGCTGTGTGGTGGGGTCAGGAGTGTTTGGGTGCAGCGCCCGGCCCCGCTGCAGCTGTCAGGGCATGAATACTCTTGAGTATGATTCAGCAGCGTCCCTGCCCGTTCCCCGCGGCTGTTTACCCGCTCACACGGTGCCGGTGCCGGGCGCTGGAGCCCTGCGGCTGCGGCTGCTCCCGGCTGGGAGGAGATGGGCTGGGGCTGAGCTCGGACACCCCACAGCAGAGCCGGGCTCTCGGGGTGATGGGGTTTGCAGCACACAGCTGGGGTCCAGGTCCGGCGCAGCACCTGCCAGCACAACCCAGGGAACCCCAGCTGGAGCCTGGGCTTCGGGCAAGCGTTCGTTCTCCCATCTCGGAACATCCCCGGTCCCAAAGTCCCTGTTTCTGCCTCATGGTACGCGCTGGCCTTGAGCGCTTGCAGTGAGCGCACGCACCTTGCAGCGAGCACTGCGGCAGCCGTACCGTGTGTGCAAGGGGCCGGCCCTGCGGTGGCTCTGGCAAGGAGAGAATCCCGTCCTATACCAAGATCAAACAGTGCCTTGGTGAGCAGGCACAGAGGTGCTGGAGGTCGTGGGCTGGTACTCTTGGAGGCCTCAGGATGCTGGTGACTGCAGGAGCCTGGAGAGGAGCCTCCCTGCCAGCACATGCAGCTGGGGACAGGATGTGGGGCAGGGGAAGGACCAGGCTGGCACAGTTGCCAGTCCCTGGGAAAGCCCAGAGCATCCTATTGAGACAGGTTTTCCCCAGGCCTGCTCTGAGCTCAGTCCCCTTCACACACCAGCATCAGCCTCTGCTGGTAGAGGTGGAGGGATCAGAAACCCAGCGGCACCCCTGGTGTGATGGGAAGGGGCCCGAGAGCTGGAAGGCTGTAGGGCTCAGCACACAGCAGCAGCAGCAGGGCTGAGCTCCCCTCTGCCCTGCTTCTGGGGGATCACCTGCACAGATCACCCCGAGGATTGCCCCTGTGTGTGTAGAGGTTCTTCCTCCAGCTCCTCACCACCGCCCGAGCCCCACTGAGAATGGACTGGGAGATGCTCACAGTGCTGTGCTGGGCTGCAAGCACATTGTCTTCATTGTCCCTGTGCCATCCTCAGGCTGACAGGGCCCATTTGGCATCAGATGCCAGAAGTGAAGGGGGTGGTGAAAGCCAAGTGCTGGTGGTTCAAAACAAAACGTGCAGGTTTGACATACAAAGTAGAAAGCATAGTGGTGGGGAAGGTTTATGCCACATTTCCTGCCTGCCAGCAAGGGAGAGAGCTGGGGGAAAGTAAAAGTGGGGCTGTGTGTGTCTGGGAGTGTCACACTGTGCTGGGGCTGGGTGGGTCTTTCCACCCTATCTGCTTTCCCTCCAGGCGCCCTGAGCCATAGCTGTGTTGCCATTGAGTTAAATATTAAGAGGTCAACTAATAGAGAACCAGAAACCTGACTGCGTGCTGCCCTCCACAGCACAGTAGTGTTCTGTGACAGCAAACCCGGCCCCTTGCATTTCAGGGAGGCTGTGCTGCTCCAAGTGATGGCCATAACCCAGCCACAGTGAACATCAGAACACTGTGAGACCTCACTTGGAGTATTGTGTGCAGTTCTGGTGTCCTCAACATAAAAAGGACATGGAACTGTTGGAACAAGTCCAGAGGAGGGCCACGAGGATGATCAGGGCACTGGAGCACCTCCCATATGAAGACAGGCTGAGAAAGTTGGGGCTGTTCAGCCTGGAGAAGAGAAGGCTGCGTGGAGACCTCAGAGCAGCCTTCCAGTATCTGAAGGGGGGCTACAGGGATGCTGGGGATGGACTCTTCATTAGGGACTGTAGT